TCCTTTTTTTTCTAGTTTATTCTTCAAGAAGAAAAAAATATAGAGCAGCACTAGTTCCCTTTGGTAAAAAATGCATTACAAAAAATTGCGCTCTTGTAACCTACACTGCCACCTAATGCCTGCCTTAAATAGGTTTTTGATATATATATATGTATCTGCTTTTCCCCACAGTTTTATTGGTCTGTATGTTTGTTGTTCATGCTCACTATTACTTTGTTGAATTGTTTAATATCTAAACACTTTTCTTTGTAAGCACATTAAATGTATTTACATATCTTGAATATAGTCACTTTTAAATGTGTTTTTAGATTTAAATTGTGTAGGACTAAAACACTTAATTTCTAAGCTAAACACGATCCTAAACACAAACCTAAACACTTTCTTCAACCTAAATACGTTATCAACATAGACATGTTTAGAAATGAGACATGTTGAGACCGAAACATGTAAAAAACGTGCTTAAAATATGTTTAGAATCTAAACACCATGTTACCGGTATATATATATTAGCGGTCATACGTGAAATTAGGCATTAAGCTTAAATCCTAGGCAACAAGCTAACGCCTAGGCAGTAAGTCTATTGCCTAAATAATGTTAGGCATTAGTCTTAAATCCTAGGATTTAAGCTTAAATCCTGAAAAATGTGTGGAGGCATTAAGCTTAATGCATAAAATATAAATGCGAGTAAATAAAAGACATTGATTCATTTAAATAAAAATACATTTGTTACATAATAACATTATGAGAACTGAAGTTTAAAATGTCATCTACCGGAAATAAAATATGTTATTTATTTTAAAACTCATCAAATAATACTTTAAAATATAAAAACTTGATAGAATTTTGTGTTAAAATCATTTGTTATCACAAGTTGTGGAACTGTGGCAACGACTATTGTACTGTCTCCCGTTTTTCTTGCATTTGCACCGGTTACTTAAACATTTGGATTTACATGCACATTTGAAAAATCCTTGACCTCCGGATAATGACTGATGGGTTGAGGCCTCACGAACACTTAAAGTTGTTTCACAGTTGAGTTCCTCTTCTAGAATTAAATTTTGCTTACAGATGCCCATCTCATTTGATCCAAATGTTCCTAGGAGTTGTCCAAATTTTGTAGCTACAACAGCATTGCCCTTATCATTGACCTGAAAAAAATAAACGGATGAAATTCTTATAAAGGCAGTTTGAGTATTTTCATTAAAATATCGATAAAATAATATTTGTGAGAGTAGGAACGATTAGTTATTTACAGTTATTTTCAATGAAATACAAAATGAACCCGTGTTGCATATGGTGATTTTCATCTGTCTTTGTGACATTGATCCGCATCTTATTTTCCCCAGGTTCAGATCCTGGATTTTTTAATAAGAGGGGGAGGGGCCTGGCAAGTCAATGTTTTGAATGATACCTATACAGTCTTCGCATTTATCATTTATGTAGCTCCATAGGGGAGGCCTTGGTATTGGTACAGCCACTGTTTGACCCACTTCTGGTGTCCTTAGTTCTTTTTTGCTCCTGGCTATCATAGTGTTTGCCCGCTTCAGTTGACTGTCCATAGCTCCAGAACGATAGCGAACTCTGTTGGTATCAATCGTACAATTTGGACATAACACCTTCGAACCGTACCCCTCTTCACTAACAGTAGTTCCACATATAACATGAATGTGTTTGTTGTCACATTTACTACACATATGAGCTTCCGATGTATCTTTTTCACATACATAGCACTTTAAGAAATCCTGAAAAACAGTTTAATCAAATAATAAGGTTAAAAAAATTTAATTTGGTGTAATTATAAATATTTATAAAGCCGGACTAAAATAAAACTATTTTTCAAATTTAGTTACAATTTTATTAAAATGATGTTTGTGCTCATAAAGATCGTTCCACTTACACTCAATTTAATTAATACGAAAATGTGGTATGCTTGCCAATGAGACAACTGTCCGCCAGAGGCAGAATGGTATATAAGTTAAGACCTATAGGTCACCATACGGCCTTGAACGAAAACCTTTACCTCATAGTAAGCTATTAAAGGCCCGAAATGACAAAAGGATGCAGATATTTTGTTCTAAAGCTCCTTGTAAGATTCCCGTGTTTTATCCATTATACATTACATGAAAGTACTGTAATACTTTAGTTAAAGCTCCCTCCAAGATTAAAGAGTCGTTTTAAATTTTTTTTTTAAATATTTCTTAGTACTTTGTACAACTTACCTTTTGCGTTTCATCAGTGATTGAAGTAGAAGGTACCAGATTCGGTTCTGAACTTGATTGTGGTATATCAGATGCATTCTCAATGTTTTCTGTAGTATTTTCAGTTACAGGTTGGTGATTTAAAGACTCCGTCTGGAGCTTCAGTAAGTCCTCCTCCTTTTCTAAGGTCACCAATATTTTGGTTTCTGATGTTAATCCAATAGTTGCACATTTACCAAACAAGGCTTCATAGGGTGATCGTCCAATGCCTTTGATTAGGGCTGAATTCTTTTGAATCTGGACGATCTTGATGCCAATTGACCACTTTGTTGATTCATTGTCCCTCATCCATGCAGTTAGCATGTCATGGATATCTCCATTCAATCGCTGAATGCTACCCTGTGATTGGGGATGTCTCGGCTTCCCATGAACGATAACAAGTTCTGGCCACATTAATTTTAACTCGGATATGACTAAAGCTGTGAATTCCGGACCATTGTCATTTTGCAGTATATGGGGCGCAACAAAAAAAGCCACCTCTGAGGCACATTTTGACGTAGGAGCTTTAATGTTACAAAATTTTGTAAGGTGATCTTGGAACACCATAAGAAATTAAAAGTTTCCATCTGGGTTTGATTGAAAATCCATCAAATCAACTTGTCCTCTACTGTTAAAGTCTTTAGATAAAACGGGCTTCACTACTGCTCCTTTCCCTATATATGTTTTTTCATATTACAATATTGACAAAGTGAAAGAAATAGTTCAATAGCATCCCGGGAAATATTAGCAAATCCATTATTCAGTTGTTTAATCATGCGGTCTCATCCGCCATGACCTGTTTCTTTATGTGCCTTTTCCAAAATACCATAGAGTTCCTCTAGGAAGACATAAATTTTAAAATTTCCCTCATCAATCTCGTTGACTTTAGTTATCAACCTCTCAAAACCTCCAATGGTAAAAATGTCATACCTTCTTAAATTGTAGTAATCTTTTGTTGCCTTCTTTTCTGATGATTCCAAAAGTTTAATCCAAATAAAGAAGTGAAAAAGATAAGATGGCCTGGGGGTTTTTAACAAAAATTTTAACAACGAAAATTTACTAATCCAATAAAAAAATTGGAAAATGGTGTGAGCAAAAAATCATATCTTAATTTTGTCTACTTTTGACCAGTTCAAACCAGCCCGACTAGTGAAGTGTAAAAATTTTCAAATAATTATTATGATTAATATATAGAATCTCCCCCATTTTTTTATTGGATACAATCACTTTTTTTAAATTTTTTTTAAATTTTTTGTTATACCACAAAAAAAGTACGAGTTAATTCTGTTTTGAATATGAAAAATACTAAAATTTGAAGATCTGTCAAATGAATGTATATTAATATTAGTAATATAATTAAGAAACTATACTTTATATCAAGAATAAATCACCGAATATACATAAATTCCAGAGTTCACTTGTTGCCTAAAATTATGTTCGGCAATAGGTAGAATAATCATCATCAGATTTCAGGAAATAAGCTTAATGCCTGAAAATTTCAGGCAATAACTTAATGCCTAGGCGTTAGCTTAATGCTTAGGATTTAAGCTTAATGCCTCATTTCACTTATTGCCGCTAACATATATATATGATTTATATTAAGATATATTCACCGTATTTGGCTGCTTACTTTTATTTCAAATATACTTCTATTTAAAGACGTATGTTGAATTTGACAAAACTATATAGATTGTTAATTTAACAATACGGATTTTTTGCATTTTTAAATAAATTTATGAAAAAACCAAAGACCTGTCGTTCTAACGCTATTCTTCAAATAACAAAAAATATAGATTTCTATGTTCTTTGTGAATGTACATTGTGTTAATTTAATAATTGAGATTGATAATGGGCAGATTTGAGATCTGAAAGGACTTGTCTAACCATATCACATTAATGTGCCTGTCCTTTTCCAGAAACCTCGTTAGGAACCTCGCCAGGAGTTGTCTAATGTCATATATCTTGATGTTTTTTTTAATGTCATATATTGATGTTTTTTGTGTTATTGAAACTATCAACATGATACAGATCACCAGATCTTGATTGCATCTTCGAGAAAGTCTTTAAAAAGTCCCACGAAATTTTTCTCTCCGTAAAAACTGGACGCAATTAATTCAGCGGAATTGTCGAGAAAAAAAAACGCGATACTATATCCTGGAATATCCACGCATTATTATTTTTTTAAGGAAGATAATTTAAAAAAAACATCTTTTGTTTCATGGCCATATGTAACATACTTTTAGACTTTATAGAAATAAAATGATAAAGATATAATATATCGAATGTAATACGATATTCCTCCAGTCGTGACAAATACATTTTAAATTTCAAATACAAGGCTTGCTGAGCGTTTTAAATATTCGAAATTGAACAGTCGACACTGTGGAAAAATATCGTATCGCACGAGAAACGGTGGAGGAATCTGTTGCTCCTATGATTTTTAGACGATATTGAGGCAAACTTTCTTTTTGTAAATAATTTGCAAAACAATTGAACATCAGGCAATATCGGCTTTTATTTATTGACGTTACATTAGCGAAACCAGCGACTCTTTTCACAAACAAATCTTAAGAGTAAAAATACTCGTAAGTCATACACATTTCAGTATAACTTACGATCAATTTTAATCGTAGATTTTTTCTGAAAATAGTCGCTGAAACAAACAAGACAATTTAACGTCATGGTGGAATTTTGAGTAATGAAGATCTGAGATTAAGAGAACCAAACATGTATTATGAAAACAATTATCAACTGTTCAGGGAAAGTATAAATCGGTAAAGAATGAGAGAAAACCGTTGTTCATATTTATATGTGAAATGAAATACAAATTCCCATTCAATCGAGATAACACGAATGAAGGTAAAGATGTCAGTCGTTCGACATCTAAGTTCACAGTATAAACATAAAGAAAAAAGTTGCCGGGTATCGAATGAACTCAAAAAAGACTATAGGTGCGTCGAAAAAAATCAATTTTTGCATTATCAGTGTTATGAAACAATTGAAAATTTAATCATAAAAATCATAAAAATTAGGATATGATAATAGATTTGATGTTTTGATGCCATATTTGTGTTCCTCCACAGATAACCTTGTTCTCCAATATTAACTTTCCAAATACGCATGTTTGCATTTTCAGTATTTTTGAACCTCATGGTGTATGTAAAAAAACGCACTAGACTGTTGGCGACGAACCATAAATTGCCATCTTCGTCAATGCAAAAAGTATCTACCCATTCTAACGTTTCCATTGGCTGAGAAAACAGTGGAACCTCGGTTAAGTTTATACTTCCGCCTTGTAAACTTTCGAGGCTTTCTTTATAAACCATATCTGCGGTCAATGCACCTACGTACAATCCTATCTGACTGAATGTCATTCCGTCTGACGGCGAACTCTTTCGTCCTACAAAACAACTTTATATATATATGTATCTTAAGTTTTCGTCGTCTTACATACATGAATTAAGGTTAATTTTAAATTGACGGAACGCACACAAAAAATGAATAATTTAATTTCAGAAATCCTTGCGAAAAAATGCGTCTGGATAAGTGTCGCAAAAATAAAAACTTTTAAATTTCATTTTACATTTTTGCATTATTACTGTCTGTAGCACTTACTGAGATCGCTATAATTAAAGTCGTATTTTTGTCAAGAATTCAAAAATCACAATAGTAAATGAACTAGAATAAATTCCGAATTCAAAGCATATATTTGTGAAAATCCTATAAAAACAATAATTTTTAAATTTCGATCAAAATCGATATGCAGAGATTGAAAGCATTTTTTAGCCAAACAAAAAAGCAACCATAAACACTAAAACAGAAACAAACCCAAAACAAAACAAAACAAAACAAAACAAAACAAAATAAAGATAAAGCCACACAACTTAAAGCAAAAGAAAACAACAACAAAAATACCAACACAAACTGTCCTGTCTTGTGCGTATATGTATGTGGTTAGTAATACATTTAATTTAATACAATCTAAAGATCACTTTTTGAGAGGTTATGAATTCGTTCAAATCTCGACTCTTAAGAATGTTACTATTTCAAGATGGTGATCTAGCCGGTGTGCAAGAAAAAAGTTTCCCTGTCACAAGGTATGCTTTAAGACTTTCAGAGAGAGCCATCAACTTTAAAGTGGGCATAACACAGATATGGACGCAAATATAATTTGTAGTTGAGAGAATTTTTAATTATAGACTTACCAACATACTGATAAGATTGAGAAAAGTTGCCTCGTTCTCGGAGTACTTTTGTTGGGATTCTGTAAAGATTTAGATCTGCTAATGCACAATAATATACATATTGAAAGTCAGGGGACATGGCTATTCCATCTATAGGTGTTGTAAAATTCCTTAAAAAAACTGTCTTTGTTTACCATTAGAAATAATAGTCATGTGACCGTTTTCTGGATACATTGATTTATGGTTGAAAAAGTAGGATTCGTCATTTTCATAATCATACACAACTATCTTCGGAACTTTTCCAGTGTCGGAAATATATGCAAATTTGGGCTTACCATGAACATAATCGATTACTATATCATTAAGGAAATTTGTGCCCTTTGAGACAACACTATCAGGAAATAAATGTTTCCGTATAAAGTAATTCGATTTGAGGTCATAAATTACAATTTTCGCATTGCATTGTGTCGTCCCACCACGGGCACTTCCGGTATCGATTATCCACATCTGTCCTGTATTTGGGTCAATTTCCATACTTTGAACATATTGGAAAGCGTCACAGTCCCCAATCTTTTGCATGTCCCAGCTAGGGAAAGGATTAAGAATTGCACGATCGTGGCTTGAATTCATTACTTCGTTCAAGGTTGATGGCACACCAGGCCTCCATCTTGGAACTGTGACAAAAATTCTTCCTGAATAAACTTTGATACCAGTTATAATATTGTTTTCAACAATGAAGGAGCCATTGCGGATTGCATTTTGTTTATCACCAGTGTGAAGCCATTTGAAATCAAGTTTTGTCCATTTATAAACAACATCAGCGTCTATTCCTTGTTTGAACACTTTTGCAGAAATAAGTAAACATGACGATTTAAGTACAAATAGGTATATAAGTAATTTATGTAGTGTCATCTTTTCTCATTCAGTTCACATGAACCAACAATTCACGTATAATTAGATGGACAACATGTCCTAAATTTTAACAATGTTAGTATCTTGACAGGAAAATAACTATGTAACCATGTAGTACACTTAATAAATATTTTAACTTTGTAGGTATAGACATAAGAAGATGTGGTATGAATGCCAATAAGACAGCTCTCCATCCAAGTCACAACTTGTGAAAGTAAACCATTATGGGTCAAAGTACGGCCTTCAACACGGAGCCTTGGCTCACACAGCAAGCTATTAAGGGCCCCAAAAATGACTAGTGTAAAACCATTCAAACAGGAAAACCAACGGTCTAATCTATATAAAAAACGAGAAACACTTATGAACCACATCAACAAAGGACAACCACTGAACAACAGGTTCCTGACTTAGGACAGGTGCAAACAAATGCAGCGGGTTTAAACGTTTTAATAGGCGCCAATCTTCACCCTACCTGAAACAATAGTGTAACATCACAACATAGAAAGACACACTATAAAATATCAATTGAAATATATGAATGTATACTTGCTGCATATTATATTTTACCAAACACAATAATTCAAATGATTATGAACAAATGGAATAAGAGTACCTGTCGTTTTAATTTTCATCCTTTTGAGAAATTGAGCGGTAAGAATATAAAATACAGATTTGGTTCCCGACTGTAGCAAATTTAATAGGGAAGAAATTGAGGATGAATACTATTTTGTCTCAGTTTGTTCATGCTATGCCTTATTGAGAGAAACCTATATATTGAGACGAGGTATATATGAACTATGTATGATATTATCCCTGTAAAACCACGGGTTATCCGATTGGGAACGTCTGTCCTAAAGTAGACACAGGTTAAGACGTATATAAAAAAATTCAATTAGATGTTGCGGTATATATAGTTATAATCACTGAAAAGTATATAAATTATTTTCTCTCATTAAGAAAATCTATATTAATTTTATGTATAATATTTATTACTTATATAAGAGTACACAAGTATTTGTAGATATATATTTTTTTTCTAGATGAAAGGCATGGTCATTTAATTATACAATTGTAAGTTTATTGTTTGGATTTCATGCCATAACCATTTAATGTAGAGGTGTAACCGTAGATGTGTTTCTTCCAATAAGTATTGTATATTGTCTATTTTACAATGAAGAAACAAACAAGCAGAAGATGACAATCACACACTTTTTCCTGGATGTGTGTATACAGATACAATGAAATTTGACAGGGTAAACAGTAACAGTTCACAAGCTTAACTACCACTAGCCTATTCAAAGTTGAGTGCATAACAACATACTATATTTAAAGAATAATTCCTACGCGAAGAAGGAAAACAAATAGCCTGCAGGTACAGTTTTTGTGGGGTTCGTGTTGCTCAGTCTTTTGTTTTCTATGTTGTGTTTTGGGAACTGTAGTTTGTTTGCTGATCTTTTTCTTTTTTAGACATGGCGTTGTCAGTTTATTTTCGTTTTATGAGTTTGAATGTCCCTTTGGTATCCTTCGCCTCTCTCTCTTAATCTGATATTCACCATTATTTCGACTAGGACTTATCATATATGTTATACTGATTAAAACATCAGAAGCACTTGATGAATTGACTTGAAAGGATGTGTTTGTGTATACGGTCAATGAGACAGACAACCAACAAGTCATCCAGAGGCCAACACACTGTCAACTGTTTACTGGACATCGCTACGTTATACAAGAAAATATAGCAAAAAAAAAAAGACTTGCTATTTGCTTTCAATCTCTTTAATTACTATGAACATGTTTTCCCTGATTTTCTGCTGCTGAAATCTTTGGCTTACAGTTCCTTTCAATTTTAATATTGACTGTATTTTGTAAAATAAATAGGTCTTCTTTTGACCAACTGCTGAAATCGTTGGCTTACAGTATTGATAGCAAGCGTGCGTGGAGTGTATTTTGTAAAATAAATAGGTCTTCTTTTGACCAACTGCTGAAATCGCTGGCTTACAGTATTGATAGCAAGCGTGCGTGGACTGTATTTTTGTTAAATAAATAGGTCTTCTTTTGATATACCAACTGCTGAAATCGTTGGCTTACATTATCGATAGCAAGCGTGCGTGGAGTGTGTTTTGTAAAATAAATAGGTCTTCTTTTTTACCAACTGCTGAAATCGTTGGCTTATAGTATTGATAGCAAGCGTGCGTGGACGGTATGTATGTTAAAGAAATAGGTCTTCTTTTGTTATACCAATCACTGAAATCGTTGACTTATAATATCTCTCAATTTGGATAGCAAACGAGCGTGGACTATATTTTTGTGAAATAAACAGATCTTCATTCGTTCTACCAAAACCTGAGATATAGTTTTCATACTAAATGATAAGAAGATTTAAGGCAGGTACAGAAGAGCATAAAACATCGAATACAATTTGTCATTCTATCAAAAACATCAGATAAATTTGAAATAGAACAAAATATATTCAGGTTGAAAGATCAAGTGATCATATTCAATTTCTATCAGAAAGAATCCTTTGTTTGTATATTGTTAAAGGCTGAACTTATCTTTTGATAATAAGCACACCAGATCTTGTTAAACCATTATCAGATGTGTTAGACAGAATATCGTGGGAAAGACTTCTGTTTTTTATATAAGTAAATACATACAGACACGCGTGCCCCTTGTTGACATATAACATTTAGCCGATAATTGATCGTATACTCGAGAAAACATTATAATGGTGTTTGTAACAAACCTCTTCAATTATTTCCTTGTATACAGTTTCTTCAAGAAGCAACATTTTCATGTTTAATTGGTTCAACTTTTAGAAAAGAAAGAAAAATGGCTAAAGGCTGTACGTTGCCAAATATAGCTTCTTTCATATATACGTCATTTGGACTCTTTTAGATAGTGGTTTCATTAATACTGGTAACCATACCGGATCTCTTTATTTTTATATCAGAATATCCTTCGTGTATACTAGGCGGATACTATTGCTAGTATGCTTGATCATCCATTAGGTAGTCGTTTACATTGCATTATTTTCTGAGTTTATGCTAGAGTTTTTTGCAATTTTTTTAAATTACTTTAAAATATTGAACCCTCAGGCGAAACTTACCTTTAAACGAATATACACCCCCCCCCCCCCCCCCCCCCCCCAAAGAAAAAAAAAAGGTTTACTGTTCTTCGCAATAAGAAGACAGAAGCAAACCTGAAAAATCGGGGCCGTTTATAGCTTATATGTTTTCTCATTGTTGAAGGCCCTACAATGACCTAGAGTTGCTTACATCAACGTCATTTTGTCTTTGTTGGATAGTTGTCTAATAATAAATCATACCATATGTTCATATTTTTATATAAGTAAGGATACCAGGAACACTCAAATGTATACGACTCTTCAATCGACCTCACCAACCATGCACCAACATGACACCTCTGAGAAAATAGACTTACAATCATTATCAAAGATCAACAACAATTAACAACACATGGTCTAGATAGTCGGAATTCCTACAGGTACTAATTGTGCTGGTGTGGTTAAAACAATTTTACATGCGCATAAACCTCCACCTTTGCCTTGACCTTGTGCCATCTCAGAATGTCAGGGTCAGCTTTCTGAATGTTTACAGGTGGTTTTGTATATTTCAATACTGAAAAAGATTGCTGTTGAAGATACAAACGGGTTTAAAAGGAAATTTCACGTCACATACATTAAATGAATAAGTCTTAGATATAACACTTTTTCCGACAAGTGCAGCAATTCCACTGAGACATTAATCATTTCGGAATATATTGTTATTATACAATTATTGACTTTTGATGAAGTTGATACAATGATTTATCAATCCAAGAGATATGATATTCACTGAGGCCAACGGCCGGTGGTGAATGTCATATCTCTGGTGTTGATAAATCATTCTATCAACTGAAATCAAAAGTCAATAATTGTTTTATTATATGACTTTTTATCCTTCTCCAATTTTATAATATTTGCTCAAGATACTTTAAAAACTGCTTCCTATTTTTATACTAAATACATCATCTGCTTTTGCAGTTGCTATTTTCATAAACTGAAATATTCAATGAAGTTTACTAAAAAAAATAAAAACACCAATAACAAGAAGAAGAGAAAAAATAAACCTAAAACAAGAAGAAAAAGAAAAAAAAAAAACGGGAATTGACTTGACGTCATAAACCTACGTCATTGATGTTGCCTTGGAATATCTATATTAAGGTACACGGACAAGTCTTATATTAACCTCTCCTGATTTTTGCCGCGGTGAATATGTTTTATCAAAGAGGATTCCCTATGCTTTTAGCCAATTAGAAAACAGAAAATCTATAGTCATATAATAAACATGTTTATCGCACCTCGAATAAATTATGACGTTATGATTGGTTTAACGCCGTAACGTGGTGACCCCTATGGATCCGTTTGGGGTCAGTAGATTTCATATGGTTTTCATGACGTCACGTTTACTATTAATGGTGACGTCATCGATTAATGCTTTTGTATTTCATGGCTTATTTTTATACATTACTTAGCAGGAAAAGTCCCGTGTGTGATAAATTCGTTATACGGTTTACTACTGACCCCTTACGGATCCATAAAGGGTTAGTAAAATCCATAGGGGGTCAGTAGCAAACAATGTAACTTAAAAAATGTTTTGCTCATTATAGTTCATACATGTGTATCTGTATGTTTTGCTCGTTATTGTTTTGCTCGTTATAGTTCATACATGTGTATCTGTATGTTTTGCTCGTTATAGTTCATACATGTGTATCTGTATGTTTTGCTCGTTAATATTAATTCATGTAGTATTACCGCATCCTCCCAAACTGGTCGCCAGACCTTTAACAATAATCCAGACAATTTTCACTATATTTTCGAGCACAGCCCGATTCCCACGCTTGCTATTTAATATACACAGTAAGTAATAGGTTTGATATTAAAAGCAAGACACTTGACAAGTCACCCACATGATAGTCATATTTTAATGATCCGTTGGATT